GCTGAAATGACAGCAGCAGCAGGTACAATTGTAATTTTCCACTTTTATTGATTTCACTCGTGACTGTGTAGTCTCTACATGGATGTCTACAGTATTTAACACAAGCAGAAACACAACATGTATACATGTTATTTCACAGAGCAGCACATCCTAATGACCCAAGGGACAGAAGAAGCCCGAAACACAGGAAGCTGCTAAAAGCAGCTATTTTATAACTTCTTTATTTTGGGATGTATGGTCCATAGTTAAAACATCCACACAGAGCCACATTTATGATTTCTAAATCATTGTTAAAACGTCATCCAAATTTCTTTAAAGCTCAGAGTACACAATCTTTTCAAGACACTTTTGGGTGGGATTTTTTGGAACGGAAGCAGGTGAGAACTTACATTACTCCTTTCAATTACTGTACTCTGGTCTTGGCTCCTTAGTAACAGCTGACAGGGCAAAATACTACACAGTGCTATACACACCATGATCCAGGCTACACAGAAATTCTTCAGGCTTTTGCTGCCTAAAATGACATACAAACAAATTAGCTGAAAAACAACATCTGCTGTTGATTTAAGGTTACTTTTTGTTTGCAGTATAAATATGTAAATTTAAAGGTACAATTTCATGTATCTTTTTCTTGGCAGCAACGCAAGTCCAACCTCTTTCTTCCGGGCTCTGTGCCCACCCCTGCTCACTATCACAGTTGTGCTGTGTCTTTGTGCAACAACTGAGGGTAGCAGTGCAGGAACAGGGGGGCAACTCCTTAAACAGGCATTGCTACCAAGAGAGAAAATTTTCATACTCAGCTTGTCTCTTATATTAACTCCTAACAGTTTGCTATTAAGTAACAGCTGATAAACAGAAAAGTGCTAAGTAGAATAGAATGTAACAGTTTCTGTCAGCACGTCTCGATTCAAAAGTGCAAAAGCAAGGATATTTGGAATTTAACTTAACAAAAATATCTTTAAGATAAATATGTAATCTAGGCGCTCTGCTGGACCAGCCTCTATGGCCATGGTTAACTAGATACTGAGCCTTACCGAGACTCACATATTCAAAGACACAGACTCCATCTAGAAAGTCTCCATCGACACCTACAAGACAACTTGAAAATAGCAGGCAATCTCCTACAGAACTCTGGAGCTACGCTAACTTCTGTATCTACACGATGCTGCTGAAGTCCCGCAGTCACGGTTACCAGTGGAACAAACTGCTGTACGGCATTAGTAAGCCTGTGCTGAAGACCTGTAGTCTAAATAAACCAGACTTAATAGCTCTGTTCCACAGGCTGCACTTCGAGATGCAAAATTGACCAACTTGTCCAGGGCAACTGCTCCAGAACCGGGTACTGAAAAGCTCTCTTTCACAGCTTTGATCACAGTACCGCTCCTTCCTCTCCAGCTATGCAAACCACTGAGCTGAAACAAGGCACTGGCAGTTAAAATGTACAAAAGCCTGTGTTTGTTTTCAAGAGTAGGCAGCAGGAAGGAAATATCTTCAGCACTGACCTATCTGCAGGTTTATTATCAGTTCCATATTGAATGAATCTGCTTTAGCTCTATTTAGTCTGCTGGGCAGGCATCTGTTTTACTTCAGCTTTTTGTTACCTCTGCTGCACCACGGATTTTCTTTGATACTTACTTTTTTTTTTTTAGATTGATGAGTTAATGTTTTTGATTTGATACAATGTGAACAGAGCTTTCTGTCTTCCATTTCAGTCAAAACGGCAGTCCATTGGTAGGCTGAATACTACAACTACTGCCAGGATTTTATGAAGCACAACTCAAGTAATTTCATTCCCCTTGAATATGTTTTTTAACTATATGTATTGAAACAGAACACATGAAGATGTCAAGATATTTTATGCTATAAGCAAATAAAGTCCGGTTGCAATCAACATGGAGGAAACTAACTGAACCACACAAAGAAATAATGCTTGCTTTCAACTTATACATATATTTAGATGGCTGTAAGTAGATAGGAAAACCATGGAGTAAGTTAAAATATGGAACCAGATTCCACAAAACTACCTCATTTTGTATGTCTATATAAACTGCAAGTACTACATGGAAAATATTTACAGATATTATGTGGGTAAGAAAAGAGAAAGGCAGAAAAGAGAAAGGGCAGGATTTTCACAAGAGCCTGAGAAAACTGGAAGCAACAGGCCTAACAACTTCAACCAGAATTTGTGCACTCTATTTTATGATCGCTCTGAAAAAAAAGTATTTAAATGCGGTAGAAAATATCAAAGTAAAGAGTGTGCTATGTTATGGAGAACATTTTAATTCTTGAAAAACCTTACATTTTGTCATCTTCTGGTTCTTGAGCTTGTAGTAGACAAATTGTGAAATCATAATTATATCCATGTTAACATAAAAAATGGCAGTGACAATCTGAAAGAGAAAACACATTTGCTTGTTCAGTATACAAATAGTCCAAAATACCTTAACTGCATGGAAATTTTGCTTCGCAATCATAATGTGAATGACAAATAGCAAAGCACTGCCAAAAAAAAAAACAAACCCAAACAAAAAAAACCAAAAAAGCAAGCGTTTTCAGTACAAAACAAGTTAGACTGCTGCAGATGAACACAGTGTAAACCTTATGCAACAGGGACTTGCTGACACAATCGCAATAGCTGGTCATTTTCCAGGATGCATAGCACAAATTCCTACCTGGGCAGACTGATAAACCCTTCTGGCCCAGAAGCTTAAGTCCGTTCCACCTAGTTTCCCAGTGCTTCGGCAGCTACTAATCTTACTCAGTGCCTCTTCCCTCGATAAGACAAACCCGACATTCTCTCTTCCCCTTTTCATAACGGGGAGATGGAACGGTTAGCACCACACGTTAAGTTGTAAAAGAGAAGACAACTCTGTCCACTCTTGGATCCACCTCCAGCTTGTGAAAACTTCTGCAGGTGGCTGACACGTACCTCTTTCTCTTTTAATGAAAAGTCAAAAATAAAAACCGCAGATAAAGTTTCTGACACAATGTATTACTGACAATGACTGTTCCGTTCAGAGAAACCCTCCCCTTAACGAAGAAAATACATTTTCAAATTAGCCAGACATTAACAGCTTTGAACCAGTACTTCCCTGTTAATAAACACTTTTCTCAAAAACAAAACCAAAAAACAAAATCCAAGAGGAATTTTAAAGAGTAGCTTCCCCAAAACAGCTTGATCCATTACAAGCTAAACAACACAACTTCCTTCCAGCCCTATTTGCTCTGCAAGCTTAATTTGAAGCTGAAGCTCAGATGAAAATTCCCAACTTCATTCATCATTGAGCAACACCCAGTAAGTCTCTCCGGATGTTAATTACAAGTGTGAAATGATTCCTATAACATGTAACAGTATCAATGTAAACATTTGGGAAATTATGACTTATTTTATAGATGGTAGATCAGTGAACAGAACACAAAACTATTTTCTTTCCCACTATGTACTTTGTTGTGCAATATTAAGATATCCTAGAGTTTAAAGAGACAGTTTGAAAAGGATAGAACAAAAAGTAGGAATATTGAGAGGTTACCTGAATTGGCAGTTGATTTGTTAAATAGCAGCCTACGAAATTTGTAAGATCTCCAGCTATCCAACACAGCAGAAAGCCCAAAGACAGCGCTTGATCCACTTTTCCATTCTGACAGGCAACGTAAATTTGACTGCCACAAATTAATTGTAAAATAGTGTAAGCAAAAAATGTTTAATAAGCTCAGAAGTACATTTTTCAAAACCCAAATAAAGATTAAAACTCTAACTACAAGAGACCTATCGCAGCAATACTCCACTTACCTTTCGAAGAACTCCTCAGGATCACTATAGCTCACCATGTCTTACTCTAACATAACAAAAGACTCAAATCACAACCTCATTACTGCTTACATGTGCTCCTTTTTTATGGCCTGCACTGAAATACCATTTTCTGGGCACCAGAACTACGCCATAAGCATTTTATGTTCATCTGCTGTAAATGCCAGCCTTTAAAATATTGAAATAAGGAAAACACTGTTATTTAACACAGAAGGGCTAAGAACGAACAAAGCTTCTAGAAGAGCTGACAACTACAGTTATGCCTCTAAATTGGAGAGCTGTTATTCAGATTCACAATGGGTACTATGAAGCAATCCCAAACGTGAGTCCGTTAGATGTATCTTGATGAATTCCATGCTCACTAACATGACAGTTTTAACGTAAAGCCCCCTTTCAACTAATATTTCAACTAATATTTCTGAAGCTCAACGGCTTACCAAGAGTGGTTTTATTTTGCTCGATTTCCATAGCCCTTTTACTAGCTCAGTAAATTATATCCCCTTTACGGGGATAGACTTTGGAGTCAGTCCCATTTTGTTTCAGGCATTTTCACCTGCTGGGAGCATTTCTACTTTTCCTTTGTCATCTCCCACCTACATATCTGAAACCTGAAGCCAGCGCCAGTGACCAAACCGCAACTGATTTAGCACTGCCGAAGTGCTAACTCATGTGCTGTTTCTGACCTTTTCTCAGCCCAAATTTCATTGCTAGTAGCCCACACAACAGAACTGGTGACACAGCATGTGGTTTAAATAAACACTGAGCCAGCTTCTGCTACAAGTGTGCCTGTGCATGCACGCACATCTCAGGGTGGAGAAGATAAGAGAGAAGAGGTGATTTATTCTCATTTGCTCTAAGTGGCAGAGATTAGTGTCAAGTCAGTACAACAGAACAGTACATCAAGCGCATTTGTCAACCACCAAATATTGTTGCAAACATGAACAACATGCTTCTCTGGCATATTATATCTGTATTATGCAGATAGAGAAACATATCCAAGATAAAATAAAAAAAAAAAAAAGGCAGCTTTTGAAAAAGGCTTCAGGCGAGATTACTTATGTTTGAATCTGAGGACTGCTTAAGACTTTAAACTTACGGTAGTGCAGCAAACAGAAAACAGACAATGGAAATCAGTCCTATGACAACGCTCCAATACTCCCACGCATTCTCGACACATTCTTCTAGGAGATGCCAAATCCATGGTGTTCCATTTATGCACAATCTCCTCTTCTCTATTGGGGAGATATTGAAAGCATGTGTATGCAGCTGAGAAGCCATCATTCCTGGACCGAGATTCAATTTCAGAAGTTTATTTCTGCCTCCATTTTTACCCCATGCAAATCCGCAAATCCATTTACCAATGCTGAATATCCTCTGTGAAAAGACCTCTGCATCCAGACGGATGCTTGATATCACAGTTATTTCCAATCTCATAAACGAACCTGCCAAATTCAAAGAAATAAATATAGCCGGTGTGAATAAGACATTAACCATACAATGCTTGCTTATATTTACTGCTTACAGAAGAGAAGTCAGACTTCCAAGAAAGAAAATTACTTTGTGGTCCATCGCATCCATTAGCTCTTGACAAATACGCAACACACCAGGTTTATATCACTATAGCATTTTAGTCTGAGGTCGAGTTAGACCAAGACTGCCAGCTACACCGAGGTGCCAGCAATCTGCTACAGGGTAAAGTAAACCAAGCAATTTATTTGCACTTAGGACCAAAATTCTGATTTTCACGTTCAACATTATGCGAATAAAGTAACAGTACTTTCTTTAATGGTACTAAGCCCAGATTCTGAACACTCTACTCACACTTACAAAACATAATGTTGCTTTTATGCAACTGATTTCAGGATAATGTTATGAAAAAGAAGTCACTTACGACTCAGATTCCAGACGAGCTCTAAGGTCTACTTGAATCTAGCAAGCCCATCAGACTAACTAGTGATTCGACATAGCGTCAAACAGTTTGCATTATTTAATACTCCAGAGGAAAGACAGAAAGCATAAGAAACTTGCAGAAGGCAAGTGTAGGGTGCTCCTGCCCCCAAAATTCCCAGAATTAAACATAATAGTACAATACAGCTTAAATTGTAAAGCAAGGGAGGGTTGGGTTTGACCTTTAAAAATATTTCCTTGTAGCCAGTTATAATAATTCTGGATATTTTTTG